CGGACCAACAAAAACAACGCCGAGCCAGGCGAAGCCCTGACACCCGGCCGGCAGGCCAAGTCGAGTCAAATCAAGGCCGAACCGCGCCAAGCCAAGCCCCACCAGAAACCGATCCGCACCCAGGAAGAAAGAAACCCGGGCCCAACAGCATAGTATAATACAACGAAGTAGAACAGAACAGCACAGATAAATGAGTAATGTAGTGGTTGGGTTTCAAGGCGTAAAGTATGGGCTTTAAGCTTTATGAGGGCAACTGATTGCCGTAGCTCCTACCCTATACTTTGAATCGCACTGCACCGCTTTGTTTGGTTCACTGTTCAACGGCGTCTTGAAGCATACTTCTCTGCCTCTGCAGCGAAACCGGGACCCTTTAAGTTGTCAAGAAAGGTCAGGATTTGTTGTACCTTAAACCCTGAACCCCCTAGAGCTTCTAGCGCCTCAAATCCTGTAGACCCTAAACCCTTTGTCCTTATCGAGCCTGTCTAGTATCCTTATACATATGTATGTATATATATATATATATATAACCCGCCTGGGGACCCGAATATAGCAGCCTTTCTGACTAGAACAAGTTTTGAGGTATGCTATACGATAAAAATAATCAGGGACCCTAAAGAAACAATATAACTCGTTGATCAGAAAGCCCTGAGGAGGCCGACCCAGGTGGCTCCAGATGTCCTTGCACAGGATCCGAAGGCTTCAGTGCATGATCTATAGTTAGAATACAGAATAAGAAGCTATTGAACAGAATGATAGAGTGGGAAAGAAACTAACACACTAGAGTAGCACACGAACTGAACATAACAGGGAGGGCACAACGACCTTGTCATGATAACACTAACTACGGTGCAAACAATAACGATCATGCTGCTGATAAGGAGGGTCTACGTCATAGTGGAGGCAGCAGCAGCAGCAGCAGCAGCAATAACAACAACAAGCCTTACTATCTGCTTGCTTGCGGCCGTACGAACAAATCTAGCGCAACAGCTGCAAACAAACTCAATCCCTTAAACCTCACCAGGCCCTAACCGCGAACGGCAGAGTATCGGGGCATCACTGCTCGAGCCTGTGCCCTCTAGGCGTGAAGGCACATGGACGGCCGCTCTCAAGCCAAGCCACTAAAGAGCACAGCAGAACCTACACTATACACGCTACACTTGAAAAGCCCGGCGCCTGAGTCACGCAGCGCCCCGGAGGGTGGCGGCAGTGGCTTGCGCCCTGTGAACCCATGCAGGGCTCCAGTTTCGGGCTTTGTGTCGAGGCCTGCGGGCTTTAGGCTCTGTATCAAGGCCGAGTTTGGGCGTAGAAAGCACAGCTTTAGGCTCTTCAGGGTCGAAGGTTTGTAGGAGCAGTTCAGAGTTGATTGTCGGTTTCGTGACTCAAACTGAAGGCTCGCGGGGACCAGCCCTTGCCCTAAACTGCCCCTCGCCTCGCCGTGATGCTAGATCCCAAAATCCCGCCACCTCCAAATCTAACCACCTCTCAAACCTTGCGACCTGTGCTGAAGCCCTCTTGAGCCCTGAGATGGGAAACTCTAGGCCCAAGGTTTTGTTCCAAAACCCTAAACCCTAAAGACTCAACTCCAAACCCTCGGCTCTAACCCTAAACCCTAAACCCTAAACTCTCAGTTCTAACTCTAAGCTCCAAACCCCAAACCCTCAGTTCTAGAACTCAACTCTAGACCCCAAACCCCGGCTGAGTGAAGAAGCATTGCCAGCCTGTGCTCCCCCTGGCGCTGGCCGCCCCTCTCTCGGCTACCTGCTGCTTAGAAGCCCTTGAAGGAGCGCTTGCAGGAGCCCGTAACAGAAACCCTGCGCGATCGCTTTCGACGGTGGGGGGGGCAGTATTTTTTGCTAGAAGGCTCAGGGGGTTAAGGGCCTTCTTTTGCTACGAGTAGGGGTTGCAGGATCGGCCGTCTGGGGTACCGGGATTCATATCTAGCACTCGTGGAGGTGCTTTCCAGACAGTTAAAGGATGAACAGCACAAAACATGTTGATGAAACCTTCACTCACCCCCGACGGAGCCCATGTTGTACCGCTGGCAAGACCCATATTCTCCACACACACCCGGCTTTAAGAAATCTACACCCGGAACGCCACGCCCTACACTTCAATTTGACAAGGAGCTTGCTTTTCACAGGCTTCGATGTCGGGCCCTTTAGTACGAATTTCCCTGTCAAGTCCTTGCATAAGTATGCTAGAATATCCCCCAAAGCCCTCTTCAAGTCATCAAAGCTCTAAGCCGTAAACCCCTAAACCCACAAGCCTCCTTGAACCCCTAGAAGCAAAGCCCCGGTGCTGCCCTCGAGGCCCCTCCCGGAAGGCCAGCCTCTGGGTCTGCATGGCCTGTTACCTTCGGTCGATGAAGTAGAGGATGATTTGCGGATTTAGGGTTGGGGGTTCAGGATTCAAGGTTTAGGGTTTAAGGCTGAGGGCTTTGGATTTAGGGCTTTGGGTTTAGGGTCACTAATAACAAGGCGCAACATTGCGGGTCAAGGGGCTCCAGAATCGCAGTTTGGTGTGATGAGTGCAATCGACGGAGCAAGAGGGTTTAGGGGAGGCGGATCACGTCCCGCTGTCTCGAGCTCATGCTACTGGGCCAATCTCGCAGAGCCCATGTCCCTCAACTACGAATATCCTCCTTAAGAAAGCCAGAACTTGAAACATGAAGGACTGGAGCAAAATGCCAGCTTAGCTGTTCAAAAACTGTCGTGGCTGAGCGCAAGGCCGAGGGCACGTCTGTTGGCTGTGCACCTGGCCACCCTTCGGGTGTCAGCTAAAAGGTATAACACAGGAGTCCGAGTTAGGGTGTCGGGTTTAGGCATCATATAGCTGGCTGTTTCGTAATTAATGGGTATTGAGCGTTATTGGTTTCTGAAAAGGTCGGATAGCTATCATGATGCTTGCCTTCTTGATGAATAGGGGCTTTGCTTAGCAAGGTGCTAAATCCGGGCTTCTGCTTCATCAGCTTGTTGCATCGCATATCATCTTGAAGACCAATCATGGCAACGACATACCGCATTAAGACCAATGCAGCATGCAAAAATACCCAGGCCTGCGGCTACAAGCAGACGTGAAAACAATCTAAACACTGGAAGCCCAACACACGGTGCTCCCATAACAGCCTAAACCCTAAACCCTAAACCCTTGCCCCTAAATCCCCTAATCAAGCGTCCTTCCAGAACCTTTAAAGGAACACTGACTGCAGAGCGTCCTAGTAGACTCTGTAAAAAAAAAAAACCTGTCTGGAACCCTTACTGGAGCAGGTTAATTTCGAAACCCTTATAGAACTCGCGTCGAACCCTGTGTCGCTAGAAGAACCCTTTCTGAAAATCTGCATTTTAACGGGTATAGAGCAGTCCTTATAGAAGCCTTGAAGAACTCGTATGGGTAAACCCTGGATGAACCCTTCTAATGCCCTTATATAGAAACACCCTGAACCTGAATGTTAAACCCTCAACCCTGAACCCTAAGTGCCGCCTGAGGCCCAGCAGCGATTAGGACGTGGCGCAGTCACTCCGCGCTTCTCCGAAGGCCTCAGAGGTTTGAGGTTTAGGATTTAGGGTTTAGGGTGTGGAGAAAGGTTGTGCTTTCTGTGGGTTTTGGTCTTGGTAAAAAGTGTTGTGGCTCTCAAAGACTTCTTTCTCGGGCTTCATGATGTTTTCAATTCGAAAAAAGGGATTTGGTGAGCTCTGGAGCCAGTCACGCGATGCAGGCGCTCGCCGCGGTCCCGCCGCTCCCGCTCCAATAGCGTCCCCCCGGCCCTGCGGCCGTAAAATCCGCTACTTTGGCGCAGGACTTCGGGCTCAACCCTAAACCCTAAACACTTTAGGGCTCAAGTTTAGGGTTTCGAAGGGCTCTGAGCTTCGAAAATGATGGGCCCTGAACGGCTGCATCGGCTAGGGTTTAGGGTTTAGGGTTTAGGGATATCATCAGCAATACGGTACCAGCATAAAGCAAAATCAGCTATAACTGTTTTCGTTCTTTGTTGATGGAAAAACAGGAAAGCAAAATGGCAGGGCTCGCCAAAGGCGTTGTAATGGCCCTTATACCTTATGAATATAATGGTGATGCCGAAGACACAGGTGGCAGGTTGCATTCCGGTGAAGCGAGCGCTCGCGCTCGTGCTCGCCATCGTTGTAGGTACTGTCATGGTGCTCATGATCCTTGTCATTAACATGAACAGCAGGACAAGAAAGAGAGTCAGATAGCCTTTGTTATGTGAAACTTGACCAACAGGAGCTATAAAGTTGAAGACAGAGAGGAGCAGCCCTAAGCCCGTAAACCCTAAACCATAAGACTCCCGAACCCTGCCACATCTCTGAGCCCGTGTCTTCAGCGGGGCATGCATGCTTTGCAGCCCATCGCCTTGGCGACAAGACTCCCTGATGTAAGGGTCAAAATGATTCGTTCATAATATCCCCTTCTTGTCCCTCTGTGGTTATACTAGAAGGTACCCCAAAACCCTATTCTAACTATTCAGACTCAATTCAGACCCTTAAAACATTCCTGAAACCCTGAACCCGAAAACAAGACATATTCTCGGACCTTCCGGCTCGGAGGTGTGTGGCTGTCGGATGAAAGGATGTATCGGGCATATGGGTCTGTGCTTAAGGATACCTTAGAAGCCTAAGTAGTTACTTGTATTGTTCTTTAGGGTTCCTGGCGACAGAATACCTGCAAAAACCCTATGCCAATTCGGAAGGCCCCACATTACAGTAGTTCAGGGCTGAGCGGAAGCTGATGGAAAGAAGCTCTGCCCAGGAGAACTACATCATCACCTCCGCTTTTCACCACCACCGAAGCAGAAACGATAACCCTCGTCGACAAAACCTGCTGAGAATGAGGCTTGGGGGGTGAGGGGCTGAGGGTAGCAGGGTTCAGGGCTTGGTGTTTTGGGTTTAGAGTGAAACCCTGGCACTGACAAAGACAGTCGCTCAATTTCTCCAGGCTCCAACGGACAGTGCAGGGGCACATCCCCTGCACGTTTCTGCCGCCGCTCACAGCTTCTGGAAGCTGGAAGGTTCGAAAAGCCATCCTCGGTGCAAGAGAAATCTTAAGCCTTTGAAGGGCTATGGTAGGGCTTTGGGATTTGCTGGTTTAAGTTTCGGTTCTCAGGGATTCGAGGTTTGAGTCTGCTCTTGCTCAGTATTTTCCATGGGTCGCTACGGGGCTTTACAAGGGTTTTAGAAGGGCCCGAAAATAGTTTCATAAGGACCCGGAGGGCCGTGTAACGGTCCTGGAGCATAAGGCTTTTTACAAGGGTTCCAGAAGGGCCTTATATGGTGTTGCTTTAAAGATTCCTCAATGGCCCTCTGCTCTGGACGGGCCCTCTGAGGGTTTCATCATTATAAGGATTCTAGCAGAACCTATATACATGAAGGTCACAAATTTAAATTTGTACCTCTGAGGACAGAAACTGAGCATGTCGATGTGCGAGAGTCAGAACAAAAGAAGACACGGAGAATGACGATGTAATACGAGCACGATTACAAGAACCCCCACACTGAGATCTGATCTAGGGCTTACGGTCTGGGAATTTGGTGCCTGGGCATTGGGTCTAGGGTTGAGGGTTTTGTCTAAATCAAACACCCAACCTTCTAATAGACCTCTAGACCCGTACAGAAGCCCCTCATAGAACCCTAGAGAACTGTCATACAACGCTGACAGCAACCCGAACCCTTAAACCCCTAAACCCCCATAAACCCTCAACCTGAAACTCTCCAAGAACCCCTTGAAGCCTCGGATCCTATTTGCAGCTTCGAGCTCTCTGGAGGGGCTCGGTCACTTCCTCGTCCAGCTGCACCCAGTCGTGTTTCCTGGAAAACAGATTTATGACTAGGGAATAAGGGTTTAGGGTTTAGGGAGTAAAGGCTTTACGGCTGACAGGTTTTGCAAAGTAAAGATTTGGGATTATTTAGTAGTGAGAGGGACAATCGGAAGAACGGATCCTTGTCAGCGAATCACTCGCCTCATAGATGCCAGAAGACGGTGCCAGGACCTTCGCTTGAGGCAGCCGGTCTGTCTGAAATGTTGGGGTTGGGTGCAGGATGTAGGACATAATGTTTAACACACAGATTTATGGCACTTTCAGAAACTAAGCGACCACAATATAAGATAGTTTGCAAATCGGGATGCTTAGTCTGAGGACTACTAGGCAAAACTCAACAAACCGTCTGTAGTAGAACGTCGTGCCGAGGCTCCAAGATCTCAAGAGTCGGCTTGAGGAATGGCTGACCTTTGACCTTCCAAAGCATGGCAGCTTCTTCAGATTCGGGTTTAGGCGGGCTCGGGGTTCAGGGTGCAGGGTTTTGGGTCCAGGGCTTCGAGTTTAGGGTTCGGGATTTAGGGTCCGCGTAAACGAAGCAAGAACACTTGCTTTGGAAGCCTTCAGTCTTACGAGCGTCATGTTGAAGTTGAGGTACCTGACCATTGCGATATTCCTGCCTCCCGACACGTATACCCTGAACCCGAACCCCTAAACCGCTGAACAGCTGAACCTTGAAGGCTAAGCGGCTAACCCCCCAGCTCCGCACCTGCCTCTGGGAGCCAGGCAGGATCGCTAGGGTCAAAGGACTCCCCAAGAAGCAAAGGCAAGGCCAAACTCTCGGCCTGATATTGAGGAGTCGGACGTCGGTTCGGGGTGTTGGAGCTTAAGGTTTTCAGGGCTTCAGGATTTAGGGGTTCAGGGGTTTATGGGGTTTTAGCGGTTTAGGGGCTTAGGGGTTCGGGGGTTTGGAGGTTTAGGGCTCTGGGTTATGATTCGCGCGATGGCACAGCGAGCGGGCAGAAAGCATCGAAAGATGTCTGAAAACTGCAACGCCGATGGACTCATGACAAAGGACTGCCAGCTCAGCAGGGACCCTGAAGCACCGAAGCCAGAACGCTAGGGTTTGGGGTTTGTGGCTTTAGAGCTTGATTTCGGATTGGGGAACTCCAAGTAGGCGCAGGCTCTAGGATTGTCACATCCCAAAGCTCGCAGTCCCAAAGCTCAAGACCGCAGCCGTGATCGTCAAATCGAAAGCCCAAAAAGCTTCGGGTGCTGACCTTAAACCCTAAACCCCTGAACCCCTGAACCTCCACCCTAAACCCCTAAGCCCTAAACCCTCAGATTGCATAAGCTTTTTCGCACCCCAAGCTGTTCAGAAAGTGCCTTGAGCATGGCATGCTGGAGAACCGCCAGCTGAAACTCCAAGAGCGGCAGGGCCTCCGCCCGAAACCTGGGATTCGTAGCGGGGGGTTGGGTTTGTAGGGTTTAGGGTGGTAGGGATTTACGGTTTTGGACTTTCGCCAGTTATTCGGATTGCGTCCTGAATCCGAGCGGTAAGCCCAAAAATGGTGGGTTTAGGGTTGAGGCTTTGGTCTTTACGGCTTATCTTCCTTTATAAACAACATACCCCAGAACCCTATTCCAATTTGCGAGGCCAGTCAAGTTCGACTAGGCCCATAATTCCTCACCGACAAAAGCCCTTGTAGACTCTACATCCTAAACCCTACCCCCCCCCCCGAGGCCTCAACCCTAAACCCTAAATCCTGAAGCCCTAAACCCCTAAAGCCCTAAAGCCTCAACCCTAAAGCGTTAGGACACCTCCCAAGGCCTGAACAAAATTTAGGGTTTGGGGCTCAGGGATCCATCTCCCACCATCTAAAACAAAACTCCTAAAACCCTAGCTAGCATTAAAACCTTCCACCCCTCAATCAAAACCGAACCGCGAGCCGGAATCCGGAGATGCGAGTCGGGGGCGGAGCGCTGTCAAAAACCGACGATTCTGGCACCACCCTCCATGGGATTCTGTCACCGCCATCTTTGAGGGGACTGTCTTCACCGGGTTTTGGTCTTGGCTTGGGGGTCCCTGCTGCAATAACCGGCTATCAAGACCAGCACCCTAAACCCTAAACCCTAAACCCCTGAACCCTAAACCCCGAATCCTCAACCCCGAACCCAAACTCTCAAGGCAGCTCGGCCATCAGCGGCTCCAGGTGCAACACAGGCTGCCTGGAAGCCGCGCGCGTTAAGAACTTCTGGTGGGCTTCCTTCATACTGAAATATGTACCAGCCAACATTGAGGACTAGGGTTTCGGGACAAAGTAAAAGTGTACGCGAACGGAAGCAGCACAAACACTCTCAAACTGCGAGAAGTGTCGACAAGTCAATCGCCGACCGCTGGGACTCGGACGGACATCCCAAAACCTAGACCCAGCCCTGGTAAACCCGAAACTGGCCTCGCCCTGAGCTCGTGTTATTCCCATTCTCGTATATTAGATGACATCATCTCAACCGGTCTTATATTGCATCATGCTTCATTACATTGTATATTATATTTTATGTCATGTTGGATTGTATTGTGTTCTGGTCTATTCGAATCTATCTCATTATACCACTACTATATTATGCTATGTTATAGGTACTTACAGTCTACTAGTGTAATGTAGCATAGTATGGACCCTGCCATTGTGGTTGTCTCGTAAGAGCCGATGCACCTCGAAGGACTCTAGGGACGTGTGCAAGGGCACTCTGTCAGATTCTGAACTTTCAGCTGGGAGTCCGAGAATATGGGAGTTCTTGACATTGGGCGGTTCATATACATTGGGAACCGCTCTTATATCCTGGGCCTATGTAGGGTTCCGCTATAAGTCTGAAGCTCCCAATTTGGGTAACTTTCAGGTTTGAGCTTGGGAACTCGTTGACCTTGGATGTGGACTGCTGCAGAGTACAACCAAGGAGCATCCTCTCGCAACCCGAAACCCTGACAGCCCTGCCAAACCGGTCAAACTCTAAAAAAAGTGCATTCCCCTGAACCCTAAACTTCAACCCTCGCAGCACAGTAAAGCCCCATAGGCCCTGCTGAGACCCTAAACCCTAAAAAAATGCCTAAACCCTCTGCATGAACGGTTCTGCTTTTGTAGGAGCAGCTCAGAAGAGCATGCATGAATGGCGGGAGCAACATCCTTGGAAGAAGATTTCGGTGTATGCTATACTGTCATGATACAGAGACACTAAGGGAGCTACGATTGCTCGTAATACCATAGCCTTTCTGTCCTTATATGGCTCCCTTCTAGATCCCAACCATTAAAGGAGACCACTTACCCTCAAAGAGGGACCCTGTTGTAGAACCTAAACTACCCTCACCCTCTTCGTAGCCAGAGCCTCGGAGGCCCCAGACGGTGGAGGAGTCGAAGGTGGCACCGGCCCGCGGCATTGTGAGGCCACAGGTGCCCTCGATCTTCTACATGATGGTTTAGGGTTTAGGGTTGAGGGTGTAGGGTTTAGGGTTCAGGGGTTTTGGTGGCTTATGCAAAATTGAGGTCTTGTAATCAAGGGTCCATACAATGCGGACGCTAGGATTAAAGATCCATGTTAGCATCCCTCATTTCTAAAACGACGAACTTCGTACCCAGCATGAGCAGTCTGCAAGAACACGGGATTCCTCCCCTAAGCAAAACAACACCCCAAAGCCAAAGCCTCTCTGACCCTGTAAAACCTGTATAGGGCCCTTAAACACCGTCAGCCCTTAATGTAGAAGCCGGAATCATTGCTAATATTATCCGGCTTCGAGTCCCTGTATAGGTATGCTATAATATACCCCAAGACTCCATTCGAATTATCAAGGCCGCTGTACAAAACCCCGCCAGCAATGTACCCATGCCGAGCATCGATCCTCTACCAGCACTACCCGGTGTCTCGCGTTGCAGAGGAGGGGAAGAAGACATCGGCCCTCGTGGTCGAAGCCTTTCTTGGGGCTTCGGGTGTTGGGGTTTGGCGTTTAGGGTTTAGGGTTTAAGGTTTAGGGTTTGGGGGTTAAGGGGGTTTGGGGGTTAAAGGTTAAAAGTTTAGGTCGAAGCCTGTCTGCAGTGGTTTTAATTTTCAGCGATTGAACATAGGGGCCTTCATAGTTGGAATAGGGTTGTGCCGTATACTGTAGTCACCCTCAGTAAGCATTATGACCATCGAAACCTACCTAAACCCTAAACCCCAAACCCTGGGGATCTGCAGAGGCTTCAAGATTATGGGAAAGGTTCAGGACTTATCTTGGGACCCATTCTGGCTGCAGGCTTCAGGGATCTTCAGCGTTGAAGAGTCTGGGGCTTTAGGGCTTGCGGCTTTCGGGGTGTGGGTTTGAGGCTTTCGACGCTCGCCGTCTGAGCTTGGGAGAGCAGCGGTCCCGACACTAATTTATTATAGGGGCCGTGAATATTAGAACAGACTCTTGGGGTTATATTATACTATGACCATCCTAAGGAACCCCCAAATAGTATTGGTAATTATGGGCCCCGACAGTAGATGGGTGAACCCTAAAGCCTCAACCCTAAACCCTCTGCATCCTATGCCTGAGCTCTGAGTGAGTCGGTTTCCTTTTGCTCTCGAGAACCTCAAAGCAGGGCCGGCTCCGAAAAGTAGGGTTTAGGGTTTAGGGGCTAGGGCTTAGGGTTTAGGGTCTAGGGTCTAGGGTTTGTAGGCCATACAGCAGTCCCGGTAGACCTCAACCCCATCAGCCTTGTAAGAACCGTCTAAACCCTGTATTCTCGTTCTTACTGTCATTATTGTTAGCAATACTGATAGTATAGTAATATTCTTCGTGCTACTACTGTTGTTTTAATTGCTGTTGATATTTTCATTATCGTTATTACCATTATCATTACCACTGTAATTTTTGGTAGTATCATTACTTCCTCATCATTGTTACTATGGCTTTCATTTCTTTTTGGTGTTACTATTGATTTTAGTCCGTGCTGGTGTTATTGCTATTCGTATTAATATTCTTTCAATACGCACCCAATCCCCTAAACCCCAAACCCTAAACCCTAAACCCTAAACCCTAAACCCCGAACCCTGAACCCTGAACCCTAAACCCCAAACTCCCCAAACCCTAAACCCCAAACCCTGAACCCTAAACCCCAAACCCCGAACCCCAAACCCCGAACCCTAAACTCTGAACCCTTGTGGCCAAAAGCCATGGCTGGGCCCTCCGATCTTCGTGGCCCAGGCGAGCTCCAGGTCGTCCTCCTGGGCAGGGTTCAGGGTTTAGGCTTTGGGCTTTGGGGTTCAGGGTTTAGGCTTTGGGCTTTGGGGTTCAGGGTTTAGGCTTTGGGTTTTCAGGGTTTAGGCTTTGGGTTTCAGGGTTTAGGCTTTGGGTTTCAGGGTTTAGGCTTTGGATTTCAGGGTTTAGGCTTTGGGGTTTAGGGTTTGGGGTTTCGGCTTTGGGGCCTCAATAATTAGAGTACGGTTTTGGTGTATTTTACGATGTCAAATGTAGTACGGAACCCTAATAGTAGTATAGACCCCTGTAGTATTCAAGGTCCTTGGCGTTTAGGGTTTCGGGGTGTAGAGGTTTAGGGCTTAGGGGCTTATAGGGTTTAGGAGTTTGGGGTTTTAAAGCCTACAATCTATTTACAGGCTTTGTCACTCACGAAAGCGAAAACACCCACCTCAGGGTTGCCCAGTCTTGATCATGTCGGGTATAGCTTTTTGTCTCAAGCTGTACATGTGGCAGCAACAGCTCAAAACAAAATGCCAAGGTACCACGTTATGTCGATAAACTTCAGCGTGCAGACGACACAGACTCAAAATTGTTGAATACCGCGCTTCCGAAGCTGACCGCGGTGGTTATGGCTGGCGGGAGAGCGACGGAAAGCCCTTTGATTTACCAGGTGCCAGCTCGACAGGGTGGCTCTGTTGGAAATGTTCCTTTCTTGGGAGATCCGGAAAATTGTGCCGAGACTTGACTGGGAAACTGCCGAGGCGTCAAAGATGTGGAAGGTATAGTACACGCTACTTGTGGAAAGTAGCCTGTCGGATGTTCAGAGTTTTTTGTCACATGATCGGCTGACACCTTGGAAGCGCATCTAAGGTACCCATTTTGTGCCCCTTTGCGCTCGAAAGCTGCTAGTCCTGGTGGTCCCATGCTCATGGTCGTCTTGGTCGTCGTGGCGCTCTGTCACTGTTTGGGGATCCAGGCTGGCATCATGGTAAACATTTTCCTAATTTTCGACTGTAGGGCTTTACGGTCTTAAGAAAATAAGGCTTTAGCAGTCTAGGGTTTCGGATTTTCGGTTTGAGGATTTAGCACTTCAAGGGCTTAGGGTTTTAGCAACGTCGGTGGCGGCCAGAAACCCTTAATGCTTTTTGGGACTTCTTAGTAAGAAGGATCCCGCAGATTAGGGCCTACAGGCACGGGGATGAAACTCTCCAATCTGCTTTGGACACTTTTTGAGTTAGTCGGCAGATTTAATATGCTTTGACATTTATTACTATGGGGGAGACTAGGTAGACGTACTATTTCCAGAGAGCCTGCAATTGTAGTTAGGGTTCTGACTGTTAGGGTTAAAATGAGATGCTGTGGCTAAGGATTCGAAGGCTTAGGGCTTACAAGGCATTCGGGCCTGGTGCTCATGGCTAAGCCGAAGGGCTCAAGAAGCTTTGGGGGCAAGACCGTCGAGATTTACGTCTGCAGGGATGCACCGTAAGGGTCCAAGCTTATAGGATTTAGGTATGAAGCTGATCTTCATGATAACCCGCTTGCATCAAATTCTGACAGGTATGGCTTGTTTCGTCACTACCTTGCACGCGTTTTCACACCGTCTTCTATGCACGCCACTAGCGCGGAATCGCTCAGAGTTGTGGTCAAGACCCACGTCTGCATTGCTGTGACCACTGTCTAGCGGACTTCTTTGCACTATGTGTTCCTGCGGTGGGGGCTTCACTTAAGTTCCTCTACAAGAACCCAGTCCACTCCTCTCATTCATCCTGGAAAGATCCGAAACCTTCCCCTAAAGCCCAAGCCCAAACCCTGTCTGCTCATCCCTGAAACTCCTCTGGCCTCCCGCGTGAGATAAGAAAGCGCTCCGGCAGGGCCCTCGCGCCGGTGCTCTAGAAGCCCGAGCTCAAACCAGCCTCCAGGGTTGGCTTAGGGCCTCTCCACAGCTTGGAGGTTCAGGCCCAATTAGCTCCCTTCTCCTCAGGACTAGGATTTGGTATTTGTTTAATCGATTCTTTCTATCTGCTTCTCCAGCGTCCAGCATACCTCTGCAGGCAGAGTCTAGGTTTGGTTTAGGATTTCGGGGGTTCACAGCTCGGCATACAATTTGATTAGGCTCTCCAGATTCGTGCGTTGGACAGAGGATTGGACAAAGTTCGATGGGGCCAAAGCGAAGCCGTGACCAAATTCCGCGCACGCCTCTCAGCTGGTCTTCGTTCAGGTGCTGCAGTTGCAGGGAACCTGCTTGAGAGGATTGGGTGCTCCGAGTGCATTCAGGCTCTGCAAAGGCTCCGACATGTGTGCATTATGTGCACGTCTGTGTGTATATGTATGTATGTATGTATGTATGTATGTATGTATGTATGTATGTATGTATGTATGTATGTATGCATGTATGAATATATATATATATATATATAGTTATAACTATATGATATATCTTATAAAACTATATACATGCACTGCACCGATACTCAGTGCACAGGCGCTGAAACAGAACCGGTGACCTTGAGCCTTTAATGCTGCTTTGGGGAAGCCACACCCACTAAGCATCTCGCAGTACTGCTTCTGGGTGGTTGGGTAGTCTACGGCCTGGAAACAGGCTCAGGACTTAGTGCCGCCCCTGAAGGGGAAAACAACCACAGGAGGCCTGGGGAGGGTGGGGGCGGGCGAGAATCTCATGACATAGTTGTGGAGGTATATCCTAAACCCTAAACTAAGCCTTACAGCAAACCCTCTACCCTGAACACTCTACCCGAAACAAACCGTAAACTCTCTACCCCAAACCTTGAAGTCTAAACCTTATACCCCAAAATATCTACGGAGGCAAGAGGCACCTTGCTGGAACTTCCATTGGCGCAGGTTTCCCTCAACCATTTGTCGAGACACCTTTCGGGTCAATATCGGATATGGGGCCAGGGCTTAGGCCTATAGGGATTGCGGTTTAGGGTTTAGGCGTTAGGGTTTATGCCGGCTTAGGGTTTAGGGTTGTGGGTTTGGTGTGTATAAGGGTTTCGTCGACGCGTCGAGAAGCTAATGTAGAAGCCCCAATAAGAGGTAATGGTGTTCCTTAAGGCTCCTTATGGTACTTATACTACAATATAGTCCAAAACCCTATAAAAGAGTTATGTCCCTTCCTTGTTTCAACACAATAAAACAAACAGCCTAGGGTGTAGGGTATTGGGGCATAGTGCTGCGAGCCTTGAAGGACAAAGAAGCCGGGTATCCTACACCTTAAACCGAAACCAGTGCAAAGCTCCAGAACTCCTGCCAGCCCAAGCTATAGCAAATAGCAGCAGCGCGATTTAACTTTGCGTCTGAAAAATCGAAGGCTACCGAACCCAAACCCTGCAAAATCCCCTGAACTGCCTAAACCCTAAACCCTGGATCCTGAACCCTATCATTGGCCAGAGAAGAAGCGTCGTACCCAAGTCCGAGAACGCCCCAACACTCGCCCCTGAACTAAGGTCTAGGGTGTAGGACTTCGGGTTTAGGGTTTAGGGCTATTTCTCGGCTTTGAGGCTTTAGGCTTTAGGGTTTTGAGGTGTAGGGATTCAGGGTGTGAGGGTTTTCGGAGGGCCTCAACTGGGCCCTACGTCCTACACCTTGAAACTTGGGTCCATCGCCCTCGTTTGCCCCACTTCTTCTCCCCACTTAACTGTCGCTCAGGTCTGCATCGTGCCGATTTTGGCTCGCGCGCATGCTGCCAGCCTATCCATGCCCAAACCAAACTCCATCCGTTCACGCGCAGCATCCATGGGCCAACCATATGATAACGTTCCCACAAACTCCATCCGTTCACGCAGAGCATCCATGGGCCAACCATGATAACGTTCCCACAAACTCCATCCGTTCACGCAGAACAGCCATGGGCCAACCATGATAACGTTCCCACAAACTCCATCCGTTCACGCAGAGCATCCATGGGCCAACCATGATAACGTTCCAAATTCACAAACCCGGCCGCG